ACCTCCAAAGGAACTGATTTTCCTGCTATACGTTGTGTCAATTTCGGCACTTTTTTCATCATTCTAATTACACGATCCATATCTTCAGGTCTCCCCAAAGTATATAAACACACGGCCTGCTGGTACAAATAAACACATTTACTCCACATCGATTCCTTACATAGCGTCTTGAAACACTCGTACGCGTTTTCGAAATCCATCAGACACTGATAATTCAACGCCATCTCCCAATAACAAATATGATGAAGTTGTTTCCACTGTTTCTGTATATTGATGGCCGATTTATACTGCACGATCGCTTCAGCAATATAAGATTCGGATTGATTCAGGCGTCCCGAGAAATAAAGAAACAGCACCCCGTTCGGATATCGTTGTAGATTGTAGTTTAGGATTTTTGATGCAAGCGAGAGATCAACATCTGCGACCGGCACAAGACTGCTGATTACCAAGTGATATGCAAGTAGCGCTAAGTCACAAAATGGTCGACGTAGCCCTTCATTTTCTTTATCGATCTCCGGGTTATTATGATTTTTATGACCATCAGAAGAACACTTAGCATGATTAAGTGGATCATAGTTCCACCCACCACAAGATTCCAATGTTCGTAAAGCCAAACTACGATCATTTGTAACTCCGACAAAATGGATAATTTTCAAAATTCCCGGTGGTAATATCGATAATATCAAATGAAATATTCCTATACCCAATGACACCCCTGAACTGAAATGACTGTCTACTTCAAAGTTCGTTATATCTTCATCATCTTTTACGCATTCTATAAATTTCGCTAAATTACGAAATATTACATAACTATTTCTTATATGAAAACCCTCCCGTATAAACGATACAAGTGCATTATCGTAAAATATACAAAGTACTGCTTTTAGTAGATAAGCTTCTGCATAGACTAATTCCGCATGTCGTTGAATTCGACTCATCGACCTCAGTGCATTGACGTTAGCTGCTCCGCCTCTAACAAGATTCGATAGGGATCCAAATATTGTGTCTGATTTACGTAAAGAAGAGGCTATTTGCACGGTAACCTTTAGTGCGGAAATCGCTTTCTCAATATCCGCCGGCTCAAAGGTCATCAGTGACTTCAAGTAGATTATATACGAGTATCCTAAAGAATGATACATTGACGTCTTACTCTTGATAATGAGCAAATCCTCGGCATCATTCATTCTCGCTAAAGAAAAAGAAGCCAACGCTTTAGAGTCACAGAACATTACCGGGCTTGTGGGAAATTTGCCATCCCCT